TAGGCAACTTAGGGTGCTTTTCAGAGATACTTTGTCAGGCCCACACAAGGAAGCCTAATGCTCCTCGTGAGGTGTGACATTTCTCTCTACTTAGGTAAATCAGGTTTGAGCTCAAGTTCAGAGGTATGATATGCAACAATCCTAAATAATTCCACAAAAGTGTAAGCATTAACTAGATAGAAATATGTTTTTATTTCTTTTTTTGAAATAACATAATGAACCATAAATTAAACAAGATCAAACTCGTAATTTCCAAATAATAAATATAGGGTAACCAACTCGTGGCTCGACTCTCAATTTGTTTTAAAAAACAAAAGTCCCTAGTGGAGTCGTCAAGCTGTCAACACCATTTTTCGCCTGGGCAGGGAAAGAACGATACCGACTCGGGGGTATTCTCTTTGAAAATCGTTTCGAAATGTGAGGAGTTGCCACCAATCATTTAAGGTGAGATTGGAACACCATAAAAACCAGGTGATTTTAATAAAACATTTTATTTTTATCAAAATACTGAGTTTTAGGGTTTATAAAATCAAGAAATCAGGTTCGGGAGTCAGTTACGCATGGAGAAGAATTAGCACCCCCACAAGCGCCCAAAAATTGGTACATAGTTGATTACCCCATATTTAAAATCATAAATTTTGTGTTCGATCTTTATTTAATTTAAAAATCATTAAGGAGGCAAAGTTTGAAAATAGTATTCGTTTATTGAGACCGATATCATTCGCCCCAGAGCGTAAATGTCAGAGATCAGCTATTGTGCCTAATAACCGAACATTGCCTCATTTTTAGAAAAACATGATGCGGTTTTGCAAAGGATGTCGACTTATTTAGGGAATTACCAGTAGTCACCCCCTGACACGATCGCAGAGGATTTACTATTAACTTCTTAGTAAGTGAACAGTGCCTTTAGTTTTAAAAACAATGCAATCAAGAAAAATTTTATTTAATCCTAATTATACTAAAAATAAATTAAGGCTTTTTCTAACCTACGGTGTCGAATTGTGACAATTAAATAACCTAGGGACTTAAATCTAAAACGAAGGCTCTAATATTAATCCTATTTAATTTTAATTAATTACTGAATTGAATAACCGAAATGGTCCCTTGAGCGTTTACGCGAGGGCCAACTCGAATTATCCCCTAAATTAAAAGACTAGTTTGGAATCTAAACTAAATTGGAGGCTCTATTATTAATCTTAATTAATTATGTCAAAAATAAAATTCTAATCGAAATTCGGGGACTAAAAAGTCAGAAAACTAAAATATCGGGCTCTGAAAGATTTAAAAGAATAATGACCTAATTGCATAAATATAAAATAATAATGACTAAAATACAAGAAAATAAAAGTTAGTAACTAAATAATAAATAAAAAATGACCAAAATGCAAATATTAAAATAACAGTAGCTAAATCAAAAATTAACAGTGACTAAATTAAAATAAAACAACATCAGCATGCATAATCGGAATAAAATAAAAAAATGGTGACCATAGTATGAAATTCGCTGAAATTGGGAACTTATGCATGATTTACCCAGTAAAATATGTGAACCAAGCAAAAAGCCCCTTAGAATCTGGGGACCTTACGCATGATTTCCCTAAAAAAGTTTGAAATTTAAACCCCCATTTGCTTTTCTTTAAAAACGTGAAGGCCAAACAAAAAAAAACTATGTATTTCTTTCATTTTTTTACAGAACCAAACTCCCCTTCAAATCTCCTTTCCTCACTCCAAGTGGCCAAGAAGGCCAAGCGCCACCCCACTTCCAGGTACCAAGCTACGGACCACCATACGTGGTGGTCATTTCACCTTAAATCGACACCAACTATTCCACCATCTAACCGACGATACGACTACCCCGACGAGCACTCCGGAAGCAAGGTAAATGTAAAATCTATTTGAGTTGCGATTTCGGTTCTTTTTTATTGCTAAATAATCTATGTATTTCGAAAATAAATTGAGATTGCTTTAGAAACGAAATGTTTTTGTATTTCATATGAAAAAAATAAGAGAAGACGCCTTACAATTATTTAACTATCCTTGCTATTCGAATCCCCTACAAACAAACCAAAAACGAAGAAAAAAACCAAAAATAGAGCCAAAATGTAGAGAAAACCAAAGAAAAAAAGCTGGTTTTTCATTTCATTTTCGGGGGAATCCTCCGTTTCTAATACATGGGGGGATTGGGGTATTAATAACCCCAACCACTATATATTATAAAAAGAGTTAAAGAAGATGATTATTTCATCCCCAAATTTTCGTGGAAAATGGGAAAAAAGGGGAGAGTGATTTACAAGGGTGGTTAGGTGGTAGGTGAACGGTATTTGAAAAAATAGTGAAGGAAACATGGGATGGTGGTGGGGTTTGAAAAAATGGTGCTTACAACAGTTTATGAAACCATGTGTATATGGCTCGAATCCATAGTCAATCCCGATAGGAGCAGTTGACAATTGAATCCAACTTTTTCCATTATTTTCGTATCCGTAATAATGCGAAAGGAAAGCCTGGCTTCAAGTTGTTCAAGAATAGTGGCGTTGCTGAGTTTCTCTATCATTTGACTTAGGATTAGTCAGTTCCATTTCTTGATGCGGGCAGGGAAAGGATATAACTTAGTGGTAGAGTGTCACCTTAACAAGGTGGAAGTCATCAGTTCGAGCCTGATTATCCCTAAACCCAATGTGAGTTTTTCTATATTGCCTTGCTCCCCCACCGTGATCGAATAAGAATGGATAAGAGGCTTGTGGGATTGACGTGAAGGGGTAGGGATGGCTATATTTCTGGGAGCGAACTCCAGGTGAATATGAAGTGCATGGATACAAGTTATTCCTTGGAACTAATATAATAGAAAGAAAAGAACTGTCTTTTTTGTATACTTTCCCCGGTTCCGTTACTACCGCGAGCTTTACGCAATTGATCGGATCATATGATATCCCTTTAACACAACATAGGTCGTCGAAAGGATCTCGGAGACTCACCAAAGCACGAAAGCCATGATCTTTAAGAAAATGGAGACTAATCCATAGGAGGGGACGAATTATCGTAATTTGTTTTAACCCGAGACATAAACAAAGACAAGGATAATCTTTCTAGTCTAAAAAGAACTCCTTAAAAAAAAAGAAATTAATCTTAAAGAAAGCGATAAACAAATAAAAATAGAAGATATGTTTTGACATGAAATGGATATATCCATATATCTCTGACTTATCTTAATGAAATGATAAAATATGGCAAAACCTATTGTTATTTAAATAATAACAAAACCAGTAACATTTTTTTAATTGTATATTAAGGGTGACACACTGTAGAATTTCCCTTCTAATTAGTGTTTAATGACTTAATTGTATATGATGTCCCTAAATTATTATCTCTATTTTAAATTGATCTTTAAAATTTAAAATATTCTATATTAATTTTAAATTATGACATCATATTCTAAATTGATCTCTATAACATTCTATATATTATTAATCTCCAAACTATCAATATTATTGCATTTTGACAAAGGTAGTATCATTTCAGAGTTTTTCTTAACCTATTGACAACTTACATAATGTAAACTCAACTGCCAAAATCTAGGCCTTTAAAGGAAATAACATTCATCTTCATTATTAAGACTACTCAATAAATTTTAAATTAATTAATTTTTAACATGATAAAAATAAAACTTATTGAGTGTCAAATTAGCAAAATCAGTATACTATTATTATAAAACAATATTTGTGTAAAATAATTATAGTTAATAAATGTTATTATTTAATGCACTCTAAGTAATATATAACAAATAAAATTGAAATAATGTCAAATATTATTTTGGTAAACTTGAAATTATAAAAATAAATGAATAAAACATATAGCATAATTTTATGCTGTTTACAAAATAAAAATTCACGAATACTATACTTCAGATAATACTCAAATTAACTATACTAATTTATTTGTATCAAATTTAAAAATCTAAGTGGTTGGTTACGTTTGTTAAGATATGTTTCTTTTGAGTTTTAAATATTAAACTTTAAATTTTCTAAGTTATATTTTCAATTATGACAATAATTATGATTAAAATTAAAATTAAAATTAAAATTAAAATTAAAATTAAAATTAAAATTAAAATTAAAATTAAAATTAAAATTAAAATTAAAATTAAAATTAAAATTAAAATTAAAATTAAAATTAAAATTAAAATTAAAATTAAAATTAAAATTAAAATTAAAATTAAAATTAAAATTAAAATTAAAATTAAAATTAAAATTAAAATTAAAATTAAAATTAAAATTAAAATTAAAATTAAAATTAAAATTAAAATTAAAATTAAAATTAAAATTAAAATTAAAATTAAAATTAAAATTAAAATTAAAATTAAAATTAAAATTAAAATTAAAATTAAAATTAAAATTAAAATTAAAATTAAATTAAAATTAAAATTAAAATTAAAATTAAAATTAAAATTAAAATTAAAATTAAAATTAAAATTAAAATTAAAATTAAAATTAAAATTAAAATTAAAATTAAAATTAAAATTAAAATTAAAATTAAAATTAAAATTAAAATTAAAATTAAAATTAAAATTAAAATTAAAATTAAAATTAAAATTAAAATTAAAATTAAAATTAAAATTAAAATTAAAATTAAAATTAAAATTAAAATTAAAATTAAAATTAAAATTAAAATTAAAATTAAAATTAAAATTAAAATTAAAATTAAAATTAAAATTAAAATTAAAATTAAAATTAAAATTAAAATTAAAATTAAAATTAAAATTAAAATTAAAATTAAAATATATCATAATCAATATAACTTGAAGATTTAATATTTTGATATTTATGAACTTTGTCTCCATAAATTTTAATTTTAATTTTAATTTTAAATATAAATATAATATTATTTAAGCCATCTTTATTTGAAGCAGGGTAATTAATTGACTCAGCAAATTCAACCATATAAATATATTTTTGTTGAAAAAAAATTTGTCAAAGAAAAACAGAAGCTATGGTAATGCCGCCTAAATCATGGGGCCAATGTCTGTGTCTCCAACCCTGTTTCTCTTTCCACTCTATCAAACATAAACACAGAGAAGACAGAATTTAAACACCAAATCAAAAGCAGGAAACTCAAAACAACCCTTAAATCAATTCATCCCGTAATTTCCAAGTAATCATGAGGAAACCCTTTCTTTAATCAACTCCTTAAACACACCCTTGGCACCAAATTCAACCCACCACACAAATTTTGACAAATAATTTCATCATCTTCTTCTTCTTCTCTGTCTCCGGAGCTTCGGATTGAGGTCGAAAATGAAGCTTTCGGCGTTGCAACAGAGCTATCTCAACCGTCGAAGCAACAGCTTCAGATCATCGGGACCGCTGGATTCTTCTACAGACAGCTCCATCAAATCACCCTCTGCAATTTTCTGGCTCCTCCTCCATTGTCTCTCTTGCCTAATTAGCTTGGTCTTCGGCTTTCGTTTCTCTCGTTTGGTCTTCCTTTTGTTCTCCACTTCCTCCACCAACTTATACACGTCGCCGTTTCACTCCTCTTCCGAACTCGCCAAAACGCTAGATTTCCACTCCGTTCTGCCCACCAAGCCCGTCGGCAACATTCCGTTACCGTCTCTTAACGATACGGCTGCCAATTCCCGTGTGGTTGTCGGGCGGCACGGGATCCGGATCCGACCGTGGCTGTACCCGAACCCGGTCGAGGTCTTGAAGGCGCACCGGATTATTGAAAGAGTTCAAACGGAGCAGAGGTTACAATTCGGGTTGAAAGATCCCAGGAAGATAATCATGGTCACGCCGACGTATGTACGGACTTTCCAAGCGCTGCATTTGACTGGTGTGATGCACTCGCTAATGCTGGTTCCTTACGATCTGGTGTGGATCGTTGTGGAAGCTGGTGGCATCAGCAACGAAACGGCATCGCTTATTGCCAAATCCGATTTGAAAACCATCCACGTCGGCTTCATTCAACGGATGCCGAATTCCTGGGACGAACGACATAAATTGGAGTCCAAGATGCGGCTTCGTGCTTTAAGGTAACCATGCTTTTTGGAATTAAGTTGTCAGAAATTTAGAATTGATTCCATTTGTTGTGTTTATTTTGGTGGCAGAATTATAAGAGAGAAGAAATTGGATGGAATTGTAATGTTTGCTGATGATAGTAATATGCATAGTATGGAACTTTTTGATGAGATCCAAAATGTGAAATGGTTCGGGGCAGTTTCGGTTGGAATACTTGCTAACTCGGCTAGTAACGATGAGATGGTGGATCGGAAGAAAGGGAAAGACGAGAATCCTCTCATGCCGGTTCAAGGTCCAGCTTGTAACGTGTCTAATATGTTGGCGGGGTGGCATACAACTTTGCCCTTTGCAGGGAAAAGTGCTGTTTATATTGATGATAGAGCAACGGTGCTGCCTAGGATGTTGGAGTGGTCCGGGTTTGTTTTGAATTCTAGATTGCTTTGGAAAGCTGGAGATAAGCCGGACTGGATTAAGGATATCGACGCATTGGATGGGGATATTGAGAATCCCTTGGGTTTGCTTAAAGTCCCTTGGGTGGTGGAACCACTTGGAAGCTGTGGACGTCAAGGTTTGATCTGGTGGCTTCGAGTTGAAGCTCGTGCTGATAGCAAGTTCCCACCTAGGTGAATATCTCATACTACTCTCCTTATATTTCATATCTGCACAATCAAAATGATCAATATTAGGAAATGGGGGTGGTTTGTGATTGCTAAATTATTGTGATTAGGTCTTAAGTCATGGAAAGTTATAACTGTTATAAGACTGATTGTAGAGTAAAAAACTTAAATATCTGATACTGATGGAAGCAATGTAGGGAGTAGCATCGATGGATGCCAAATTAAGCATCCTTTCTTTCAAATTTTAGTGAAATATTCACTGCTGGCTGGTTCATTTCTGAAACTAAGTCGCCTCATTGGTTTCCTAGCATTCAAATGGTTCAATTTGGCGAAACAGAAAATGTTTCCGGTGATTATGATTTTTCTCTTGTATGCATTTCTATGCCTTGAACCATGCGAGTTATGACTTAACTAATTGTTTTGAACATCATACAGTTAGCCAATCGACCCACCTTTGGAGATCACTGTTCCGTCAAAACGCACTCCATGGCCAGATACTTCCCTCGAACTCCCAAGAGCCAACAGTCGTGCTTGCTACAAAGACACGGACATCCAGATCAAAACGTCGAAGTAAAAGAAAGCATGATGAGGCAAGAGCAGACAGACGCACGGGCTTTCGACAAAGCATTTTGAAACAAAACTAAAATCTTTAGCTGGGAATCTATACCATGCCTGAGTTGAAACAGCTGCACTCTGAAATTTGATCAATAATGGGGGAGTGCAGATGGTCGTATCAGGTGTTGGGTACATATTGATAAGCACCTCTCACTGAAGGCAAGTTTATACATGAATCTCTCTGTTCTGAGTTCTTGACTATTCTTTTGTTTCTTTTTTCCCATCCATAGTTTCTTGGGGTGCTTGATTATGTGCTTCATTTAGGAGGTATGTAAGCCGAGTCGTTGGTGTTTTTTCTCTTTGATTTTCTAATTTATACATAAATCTTGTAATAGGGACTATAGAGTTGTGTTCAGTAGTTGGTAGATACAACAAGAATAATAAAAAAAATTCATTGTGTGATGCAGTTTGATTCGCTGATCAAAATCCAGATAAACAGCTAATGAAACTAATAAACAGAGAGTATACCCATAGCCGATCTCACAATTATTTTTAATCTAAACAAATATGAAAGTTATGAATTAATAATAGGGTATTTCTTCAAGTTAAAAAGTACAATTCAAAACTATTGTTTCATTTAAACCAACTTCACTGCTTGATTGGGTATTATCTAAATTAAAAATAATTGGTAATTGGATGAAGTTACAGGCGACGAAAAATGTTGCAAGTCCCTTCAATACAAAGCTTTCTTTGTCGATCACTAAACTTCACCACTACACCTGAAAGTTACACCCAGTGAAGCGAAAATTAACATTCAATGTGCAACTGACGGTCTTTTAAGAGCACTTTTATTACCAGCAAATTCTACAGATATATATATATATACCTGAGGAATTTAATCCCTGAGAATGTTAGTGCTTTCTGTTGAAGATGCCTTCTTGCCATCGTATCTCTAACAAAAGAAACAAAGAACAATACAATTAATTATGCAATTGAATATACAGAGGGAAAATGGGATACTAGATACCCTGCCTGTCAGTAGCAAAGACAGATGGATTCGGAAATACCTGTTTCCCAAACGAGAAAGGAACGTATTTGTATTTGATCATGTGTAGTATCTGTCTCCTCATTGTTAGGATGAATAACATTAACCAATAGAAAAGGAGTATTGGCCAAAAGACGGGCACATCAAACACACTGAAGAATGTCATCAGAAAAGCAATGCAGAAGGCCTTTGTAATCGAGTACCTTCACACAAAAGGGCCACATAATAGACAAAAATCTTAGCATTCAGCATAATATTTCTGAAAGTCAAGAACTAAGTTTCATGGCACTCTGCATACAGCTATAGACAAAGAACAAGAGAGTCGAGATAAAGAAGAAGCTGCTTGTTTCTCCCGATCTTTGTTTCACATCAAGTTCAAAAAGGATTTAACTAGAGCGTAGCCCACTATGTTATTAGGAAACCTTAAAGTCAAAGAACCAAATTGGACTCATTGACCTGGATTTTCCCATTACTTCCATAACATGGTAAGGCTTCCCCTCAAAAAGAACACTTCACAACAAAAGTTTCTATACAGACACCAACCAACAGACAAATATGAATATGTGATAAAGCCTATATTAAAATGCCAAGCTCCACTTGACATGTACCTTTGAATGGAAGGAAACATAGAAATTTCTAATCATTCTCATGGACTTCTAATGTACGAGCACTGACATTCAAGAAATATGTTATCCCGACACTTATGTTAGGCACATAGTCAAAATATACGTACAAAGGTACAATCCTCTAAATAAAGCTTAGAAAAACTGAATATACTTGTGCCCGCTAACTACATGTAGTCTGGGTAACAATGAAATCAAAGGGAGGGAGGCGGTTTTGTGTTTGGGGGGGGGGGGGGGGAACTAATTTCACAGGTTCAGTTTTCAGAAGTGGCTTATAACTCGAAATACTTGATTCCAAATCCTTCAGTTTTTCATTTTATAATAAGAATTCATTATCTCTTCATTTACCAGCAATGATAAAAAGCTTTCAACATTATATTCTTCGCCCATAGTGGCTTGCAAATTATTATTTATTATCATCATGCAATAAAGGCCTCTTTCTTCAACTTAATTGACCTTTCTGAAATTCTTCGCAAGATTCAAATCAGTACTAAATTAAATTATCCTAAAATTAGGAATACTATTAGAAAAGGAGACAATCTGTCACCTAGCAAGTTTCAATCACACAAAATCTCTCTAATGATTCAACTCAATGAAACATAATTCAACATTGATAACAATCATTTTATGAAATCAAAGCCATTAAAACAGACCAGAATTTGAATTCGGGTAGTCGCCGAACGAAAGGGCGAAACTCATCTGATCCGCGGGTGGGGAGCGTAGGGCCATCCTGCATCTCGGGGTCCACCTGAGGAGAAAGAAATCCCATCAATAGATTCAGCAAGTAGATGCCGAGGCCGTAGGTGATGATGTAGAACCCTTGCACGAAGTACACACGAACGGCGTAGATCAAAACCATCAGCAGACATCCGATCCAACGGTAGAGAACGTGCGGAACCGTCTTGTCCAGGAGGTGCTGGAACCGCCGCGATACCTCGAAGGTCCAGCGCGATATGGCTGCTGCGGGAGACGACGGGGATAGATCGTCACCGTCTAGGGCACCGCCGCTTGGTCCGGTCTCCATCGGAGGACCCTCTTATGAAAAATACAAGCTCTTATTTTTCTAATCCTAAAACAAGTTCCTTCCTTTTCGTCCGTTTTTTTTTTCTATTGCCTTTTCCTCAAATAATATCCGTCTTCTTCATAATAACAAAATATTGCAACGCTTCTTCGACCATCTGATTTTCGGCTATCATGGGTTTTTTTTTGGTTCGGTCATATACCGGTTCGTTTAAAACGGATGTACTTCTATAATTTAATTGGGATCAATTTTAAGAAAAAATATTTAATGTAATTATAATAAAAATATTTTATCAAATTTAATATCATTATATGTTATATTTTAACATAAACCAAGCGACCCCAACGGTGAAGAGATTTATTATTATTCATTGAGGTTTTAAGTTTGAGTACCACATAAGCAAGAATATGAACGTTCATTATTAAATGATTGAGGGCTAGTTTGGTATATCTTTTGGAAATTAATTTTTAAAAGTGTCGTAGAAACGAATTTTTAAAAGTTTTGTACAAAAGTGCAATTTAAAATATAACTATTTGAGATTGTTGTTAAAAAATAAATTTGAAAATATAAAATGTTCATTATAGACATTATGTTGTAAATTAAAAATATATCATTTAAATTATATTTACACTTATATTTGAATCATATTAAACTATAATAAATTCAAAAAGATTATTATTATATATGAATTATATCAATTTAAATATAATAAAAATATAAAAAAGTAAATAAAAATATAATTATAATAAAAATATATTTTATATAACTCATTAGTAATATTTTAATATATAAATAGTGAATTTTATTTAATTTTAAATAATTAAAATAAATTATTAAAAGTAATAAATTATTTTTTAAGGATGTTAGTATTAAATTATTAAAATTAAATGTAAATACATAATTGAGTGGAGCACATGCATTAGTAAGAGTAAAATTATAATTTGCTTACAATCGTAAAGTTAAAAATAAAAAGCTAGAAAACATAGCTTTTGCGATTGGTTTGAAACCACCGTTTCCACCACAATTTTTTTTTTACTTTTACTCATTTGGCATTGATTTTTGCGGTCAAAACAGACTTTTTCAAAAAGTGTTTTGATGACATCAAATCAAGAATGACTTACTGGTAGTTGGGAATGAATACAAGTAGGGGTTGGGCTTTCATGGGTTGGGATAAGGTGTGTCGTGCCAAATGGGATGAAGGTATGTTTGGGATCGTCGATAAACTCAATGGCGCAGCGAAAAAATATTCCGATGATCTCACCAATGATTCATGTATGAAAATTCGAATTCGGGAGGAAGAGATGCGTGATTTACGTTGGGTTCCTGGAAACAACAATTCAACAGCGCAATCACGATCAGTTCGAGTCACAAGCCTCCACAAAACCGTCTCAGCCTCTACTTAGTTCACCCGGTTGAGAGAAAATATTTATATTTTCTCAAAAACTGTTTTTGAGAATTTCATTTAAAAGTGGTAGAGCGACTGCTAGACCATATTATCCTGTTTATATCAAGTTACCCTAACTTTTATGGTTTTTCTTCCAAATTTATTTATTCAAAAATTTATTATTTCAAATTTATTTATATTAAAAAATTATAATCATAATGACATTCTTTTAATATTTTTATGAAATTTGGGATAATTGAAATTACATGTATATATCAAATATATATTAACTTCAATTATATACTTCATTCATGTATGTTGAGTTAATCGATCGAAGGAATCGGCCAAGAGGGGGGTGAATTGACAATTAAAAATTTCGGTGGAAGCTTTTGCAGAAAATTGAAAAGATTTGCACAGTGATTTAGAGTGGTTCGACTTTCTCAACCAAAGTCTACGTCCACTACCTTAGCTATCCACACTAAGGATTTTCCACAAATTCACTAATTTGTCTTTCTTTTGAGGACAAAGAGTAACCTTACAAACCCTCAAGAATTATACCCCAAATTCTTGAGAAAAACTCTCTCCCAAAGAGAACAATACAAATTTGCAAACTTACAAGGAAATCCTCACAAGGTAGATTGTTTGCACAATTCTAGAACAAAGAAAAGAACACTCAAGAATAAATACAATTGAGCACAAAAGTGTTCTTGAAAGCAAAATGAATATTGAATGAAAAATAGGCTTGAAATGCTCAAACTTGAGATTTGATGCTTTCTCTTTGATTCTCTCTTGATTCTAGTTGCTTGATGTTTCTTGTTGTTGATCAATGGCTTCTAAGCTTGCTTAAATACTCCTTGAATCAATTCTGAATGTTGGTGATAATTAGTGGAGTCAATAGAGCCGTTATTGTGTGAAAATAATTAATTTTCTGGGTGGGAGCGTCTCATGCATCGATGCATGACCATTATGCATCGGTGCATCAGTGTAAAATTTCAAATATTTTAACCGTTGGACTCCTAGTGCATCGGTGCACTAAGAGTGCATCGATGCATGAAGTGCATTCGATGTTTGAAAAATAGCCTGGTGCATCGATGCATGGATTGTGCATCGATGCATCAAATGCATTCGATGTTTTAATTAAATCAGAGTGCATCGATGCATGGAGAGTGCATCGGTGCATGGAATGCATTCGATGTTTCAACTTATTCATTGATGCATCGATGCATGGTATTGATGCATCGATGCATGGTATTGATGCATCGGTGCATGCCTTTGAAAAATTGATTTAAGGCTTGATTTTGGTTCAAAATACTTTGTGAAAATTGTTTCAAAAATAGTTTAAGTACAAATCACAATTTTACACATTTGGTAAGGATTAAAATTGATCTTCAAAGACTTGGAGTAATAATTTGATATTCGATAAATTGAATTGAATATAAATTGTAGAATCATTTGTAAAAATCTTAAAATTCATTTAACTTAATTTGTTATATCAAAATATCACAAATGTTTTTTAACAATCTCCCCCTTTTTGATATAACAAAACACTTGGTAAATTTTAAGATTTAGAAAAAAATATTTTTGAAATCAACTTTTGAAAAATTACTCCCCCTTACTATGACACACATCTTCTCCCCCTTTTTGTTAAATCAAAAAGACTCTATAAAACGTTTTAAACAAGAATGTTTTGAAAAACTTAAGCCAATTGATTTATTAATTATAAGCTTCTAAGATCACAATCAAAAGAGAGGTTAACCATTAGTTTCATACATCAATATTCATATAACATGCAATGGATAATTGGTCATATATGTCTAATGATGCAAAGATAAGAAAATTTAACCAAACCAAATATATATATATATTAAGTTCAAGCATTCATAAAATAAGTTCAAACATCCATCAACCAACAAAGTTAAAGTATCCAAAAACAAACAAACCAGAAATATCAAAATCAATCCAAGTTTTAAAATCAAGAAAGCATGACAAGAAAAACAAATCTACTCCATCAGAGGAGAAGGATAATGAGCTCGAACTTCAAGAGTCAGAGCATCCATACGATCACGCATCTCCCTCTGAAACTCAGTAATCTGAGACTCCATGGAAGCAAATCGTAGATCAAACGCCTCTAAAAAAGATCGAAAATAAGGTGGTGTTTGATCTTCTTGCCGAGCGGGTTCCGGTGCATTAGCTGGATCGTCAATATCTTGAAATATCCCTTGAAGCTCGGGATCGAAATCTGCAGCCAGAGGAGGAGGAGGAGCACGAGAAGAACTAGCTCCCGGAGTTTGTTTATTTGGTCGGAAGACCCAAAAACCGGTGCGTTCATCTTGAACCCAATCCGCTTTCTTTAAAGAAGTGAGATTGATTTGATTTTGGAGAGGCATGTGAGTGTCGAGAGAAATGTCTAGACCAAATTTGATAAACATGTTACTAAGTAGACATCCGTAGGCTAATGTTTCAACATGTTTAGAAGGGACAATGTTTACGATGTCTACTAGTTGACTAAAAATGACCTGTCGAAGATTTATTTTGATTTTATTTTTAATACAATACATCCACCATAAATCCTTAGCACGTAGAGTAGAGTACCTACCAACAGAAGGACGAAACCACCAAGAAATAATAAAATGAAGGAAACGGTCGTGATGGGTTCGAAGGGTATTGACACTAGCATTAGAGGTATAGGGATAAACCACAGATTCTTTTTCGTCAAACACACCATCATCATCTAACCCGAAATGAGAAGCAATAGTTGCGGAATCAACAACAATGTACTATCCTAGAAGATAGGATCTAATTACGATGGTTCCACATTGGGTTGATTTTGAATACAGACCGCATTGGAATAGAAAATGCGGACTAATTGGTGGAAGACGATAGGTTGAAGCGAAAATAGTTTATCAAACTTCCATTGTTTAAGAATTGGGAGGTATTCAAAGTCAATTTTGTTCATGGCTTGAAGTGAGGGAATACGTTCTTCCCAAATTCTATAGGATTGGAATGACTCAATGTATCTATTGTAAAGGTCGTTTCTACGACGCTCTGGCATATTGAAACAGGAACTCAATAGGCCACTAGAAGTTTGAGGAACGAGATTAGGAGGTAGAGGAATGGAAGGACGATGTGAAAAACTAGAGGAAGTCCTAGGACGTTTAGGATTAGACATGGTAAAGGAGTCAGAATAAGAAATATAACCTGCAAATTGAAAACACATGTATGTACAATAATCAATCCCAAAACTCAATTGAGTCCTCAATAATTCAAGGTTCTCTAAACCGAATCCAAATGGGCAAGGTTTTGAAAATAATGTTTGTAAAATTATAAGATGTATCAAAAACATCAAATTTCAAAATTAATTTTAAAATTTCAAAAATTTTTTATTTCGAAAATAAAAAACATCTTGAAAATTTGTGAGTTTTTGATGAAATTAGTTGTAAAATTGAGTTTCTAATCATCAAACAATCAATGCCCGATATAATGTTCATCCTATAACTAATCAGAACTAGTTCTAAAATCAAAAATCAATAAAGTAGAGGTTTTTGAAATATTACCTTGAAAATTTCGGATTGAGAGGGATGAAGAGATGTTTTGCACGATTTGATGATAAAAGCAGGTTTGGGAGATGAAAAACTTGAAGAATCCAATGAAAAATCGTTGATTTTGAGCAAGAATGGAGTTTTTAGGTAGAGAGGGACGAACGGCTGAGGGAGTGTTTAAAGGGTTTTGAGAAAAATAAAGAGAATCA